GCTGCTGTGGCACCCTGTCCCTATCCTGATACACATCAGGATAACATGACCTCATAAACTGGTAATTAGTACGAATCAGCTATTAATCTAAGTGTCTTATTGCAACAAGTCCCTTCGAGAGAACTGTTTTATTTCCAAGTATCTTCCCATATATAGTACAGCAGAGACCGAAACATGGCGGCGATCTTTGCCCACTAAGATTGAGGCAACTCAGCCGCATTCAGGACACTGATAGTTCACTGTACTCTACGTACTTATTTTAAGTATCGAAGTGAAGTATTGATCTCTAAAGTTTCGGACAACGTCACTCGCTCACTGTTGCGTATGTTTATTTATGCGTCACTTTGTATTTTTGTTCGTAATTATTGTTATTATTAGTCGTCTATAGAATTTACTTGGATCATTAATTAATTCCGTCCTGTTTCACCTGAATTTCAAGATAAACTTTTATATCCGATGTTACTGCTCTTGATTAAATTCAATAAGAATTTTCTTCCTCTCGATTGCACAGAATGTCACTGTAATTTCAATGAATTAGCTGAACTCTATGTAGTACACGTATGGTACATATTACATATATACATATATACTTGCTGTACACTTGTAGATTTAGTTCTGCCCTGTTTCAAACATTCTGCTTTTGTTCGACTTCTGATGGAATTGAAGAATAGAAATAATGTAGGAATTCTAAGAGAAGAAAAATAAAAGAGTATATGAGAGAGCGAGAAAGAGTGAAAGAGGGGTGGGGTGGGGGAAGGGGGAGAGGGGAACTAAGGGAGAGACAGAAAAGAGGAAAGACAAAGACGAAGATTCCAATTCCTTGATCGGCGTATATAAAGAAGTGCTAGAAAGATTCCAAGTATGGGGAATTTAGTTAGTTAAGAGAGTGAGTTGCAGAGAAAGAGAGAAAGAGAAAGAGTTTAAGAGAGATCAGCCGCAAACGAGCGGCAATGACTGTACTCTCGCCATCGCGTAAGAACTCGCTCGCTCAAAAGGTATAGTCAGTACCTTGGATGATGGTAGGATCGCAACTGGTAGTAATAGTGGCAATGGTATAGTAACAGTTATGCTAGTGGTAGTACTAGCACTCATGATGATGATCATCATCCGCACGTAGGGGCACAGTAGCTATATCGGTAGTCGTAGAAGTAGCAATGCTGGTACCAAGTATCAGTAGAAATGGTGGTTAATGCACCGGCCCAGAGGTACATACCTGCCAGTCGAGTTCCCAGTTAAGGCGTTACAAAATCTTGTGTAACTGGGGCTGTGGTTCACTTTTTCTTTCGACACAAAAGCCACGACCTTTTTCACGCTTACCATACTATAGAACACAGGCGGTCGAGAAAAAGAGGAGATTATACGCACCACCGGAAAATATTGTATGTATGGTTAAAAGAACAGCTAAATATTTTTCCCACTATTTTCAAGTTTTTCCTAGCTTGAAATTGGTTGATTAAATCAGCTGAATGATTTTTCGAGACTGGCAATTTTAGTTAAACTTATTTTGTACAATTATATTGTAGCTGTGTATAAGTTGTAACCCATTATTTTTTATTAATTGAAACTATTTTAAAGTACAAAGAGGGTGTGCAACCCCTCTACACGGAGAGAATTTTTAATTAAAAATTATCGTGCAACTCACGATAACCACGGGACATCATGGCATTTCATAACATATTACCTATACAGGGTTAGTCAGTAGAAACGCATCAGCAGAAGTTGGCCGCAAGTGACCGACACGGCAGTGTGGCCTCTTCAAAAAATGACATGCGACTGTGACCCATTCCCATAAGCACAAACTGACAGTTCGCATAGTAATAAGGTTATTGAAATATTTCAATAGTTAGGTTACTGAAATAATTAATTAATATTGTAATGACAAAATGTAATATCATTTAAGATTTATTTTTACAACAGATTGCAATTAAAATAATGTAAAGTTTAAAATATTCACAATTTTGATATTTCCAAGTATTTATCACAGCTGCAATTCTGCAATACAATGCTGCAATTAATTTAAAAATTAATTAATTGAAATGTTTTTATAGCAAAAAATCTGTTGTGAAAATAAATCTTAACTGATATTATATTTTGTCATTACAATATTAATTAATTATTTCAGTAACCTAACTATTGAAATATTTCAATAACCTTATCGCTATGCGAACTGTCAATTTGCGCTTATGGGAATCGGTCACAGTCACGTGTCATTTTTTGAAGAGGCCACACTGCCGTGTCGGTCACTTGCGGCCAACTTCTGCTGATGCGTTTCTACTGACTAACCCTGTATAGGTAATATGTTATGAAATGCCATGATGTCCCGTGGTTATCGTGAGTTGCACGATAATTTTTAATTAAAAATTCTCTCCGTGTAGAGGGGTTGCACACCCTCTTTGTACTTTAAAATAGTTTCAATTTAAGGAATAATTGACGAAAATATCCTAAAAAGTAAGCACGATACGTTAGCTTTTACTGAAGTGTACGATACAATTTTTGAAATTTGGAAATATGTAGTGTAAAAGTATAGCTTTACCTTATATATAGCTTTTACCTTGTTGAATTTAAAGTTATCTAATACAGCCGAATTATCTCGTGTGCTGCATTCAGTTTTACCGTGGAGTGCACTGCACTTTTCATACCTTTGAAGTCAACCAAAAAAACATTGACATTGTGAAACGCAGTAAAAATTGCAAGTAACGATTTTTTCCCGTGTGCATTGTAAAATTTATTCGTAGCTACTTAAAATGTCGTATGTTATAAGCAATGAGAAATGAAATGGTAACGACGTCCCACGGTTACTGGTTTCTACGGTATAGTTTATCGTGAATTTCATAGGAAAAATTAACAAAAATTCTCTCTGTGTAGAAAAAATGTATGAGTATCGTTCGTTGGATCAGAGAGAAAGCAGTAAGGCGCAGGTATCCTTCTTAAGATGTTTCGTAAAGGGATGTGGGATGCTCTGGTAGGTAGGGTAGGTGTGTACGGAAACTGCGATAGTACAGGAGATATCGGGGTTTATTGGCGTCGCGGGGCTTCGAGACGTCGGAAATGAAGATAAAGCATTCCCGGATCGCGGTTTATTCCGGCGTCGCGCCAAATCGTAGAGGGTAGTTTCGCTGTCTTGTAGTTCTTAGACATCTCTTCACTCTTACTCACGATCATTCTATTTCTCATCTCTCTCTCTCTCTCTCTCTCTCTCTCTCTCTCTCTCTCTCTCTCTCTCAGTTCTTCCCCGCACGAGTGAATAGTAGGGACGCGCGCAAGAGCATGAGAACATAGTGGGGATGATGTTACACCACGGGGGTGGAAAATTTACCCCAAACACGAGGGCCAGCACGCGACGCACCGAATCCCTTTGACACTTATCCACGCGCCTTCGTGCCGCGTGCACGTCTCGTGAATAAGAGGTCACGCGTATTCGTCCCTCTTGTGACATTTGACATGGTTTTCATATTCTTGTTTGTCAATTTCATTTTCGGGTATCAAAAAGTAAATAGTGAACAGACTCATTGGTGTCACGTTATTTTATGCAACGGATGCAATTGAATTTTTTTTTTTCAAAAAACCTCTTCCGAACAGTAATATACCAAGGACATTTTCTTGGCCGTGCACTATTGATTGAATAGAGAGAAAACTGTACTATGGACGTGCAGGCTTACGGGAGAATGTGGCAAAGCCCGAATATTTACTCCTCGTACAACGCCCACGCGTCCGCACTGATGCAACTACAGTCGAGCAATAACGAATTACATTCGTGGTTTCGTTCTAGGAAGCCGTCCATGGAGGACGTCGGGAATTCTACATCCGTCAACGCACGGTGAGTAAATTTAGCGAAAGAAAGAACAAGAAGTTCGATACGAACCGAAAAGGCCCCCAATTTCAAGATTGCAATACATTAGAGATAGTATAGTACTAGGGACACGTTGTGGCAATTTAAATTATAAAATATTTAATATATAAAAGAATTTTTTAGTTAAAATGATTCGATAACTTGGCAGTTTAATAGTACTAAAACTATGAAAACACTTCATTTTTGGTTCGAGGGACAAGAAGTAAAACAAAAAGGTTACTCTGTTCTGATTCCATTGGATTGATTAGATAGAGATCATTGTTGGGGCCGGAAGGGGGGGGGAGGGTAGAAAGGTGATGGGTAGATAAATATCGTAAAAAAATACTGTAAGGAGTAAGAGAGGGAAGACCACCTAGCGTCGTCGTAACAATTGAACCCTTAATAGAATCACATTTATTCTTATTACCGGACGAGGTCAGCCAAGCAGAGCCTCGGGACCCCTGACACTCTTTATGCGTGTTTGTATAGGCACTGTGTTTTTATACACGAAATATTTCCTCTGTTCCTTTTTGCATTAACCATAGGAAGTACAGGTATATACACGCATAAGGCCCCGGGAATTTTTCTGGTTAATCTAATTTGTCTATTTCTCCGTTTTTTAATACTTTTTTATTGTGTTTCTTCTTTTTTCTTTACTCTTGATTTTGTCCTTTTTCAATCCCACTGAACTCGGACCCTTTTCTTTTGGGATCCCGACGCCGGCCCATATTAACGGGCCTCTCGCAGCACAACACGCAGCCGACTCGTCGCGCGAGTCTTTTTGGCCAGATGAGAATAAGAAAGTGGAGAGAACTCGTGCGCCGATACGAATTACAAATAAGATATGGCCGAGTGGCGTGACGGCATTATATAAAGCGACAATACACATCGGGCCCCGGACCGATGTCTTAATTATCGAGTATTTAGAAGCGAGAAATTTCCAGATGCGGAATGAGCGCCCAAGAGCGAAGGAGAGAGCAAGGATCGATACGGGACGCGTAATGGGCCTCATTTCCCACTTTGGCTTCTGCTACCAGATTGGGACTTATTTTTACGAATTTTTGTTTGGGTTATCTTCGCTGCTACCGTTTCTTTCTTCTTTTACCTTGTTCTCCAATATCACTTTTTTTCTCTCTCTTTCTTTACTCTGTCTCTCTCTTTCTTTACTCTCATTCCGCGTTACCCTCTACTATGTCTTGGCCTTGACAAAAAGCATTGCCGGCCATTGCTGGGTCCGCTCGTTAAGGTATGCTAATTTGATACGAATTAAACCATTATCTTCACCGTGTCTCCAGAAGTAAAGGAATTTAAATTTCAAGTCGCAGAGGGATGCGCGAATAGGTAATTGATGTCCTCCTCGCTTTTGGGCCCGGCAGTGTCCTCCACGGGTGTAGGTACTATTGGGAAATGGTCTCATGACAAAAGGATTTACAGGTCAGTTCACTTTAATTCCTACGGTTGGGGAGAGTAGGGAGCTCAACGGAATGGGACTCATTCGCTCATTCATTCCTTCATCTAGTCTCGTTAGCCACCTCGTACCGTCCAATCTAAACCGACTGCTATCGTCATGTCAACGGATGACCTAATCGCTTCCTTTCATAAAAAAAAAAAGATAAAATTCAAGAAAATCATTATCAATCATTTCTCGCGCCTCGTTACACCGGCAATAAGATCCTTCAAATATTATCCCTCTGCATTATATCCATAATCTCCAGAATTGCGTACTTCATCGTTTTATCCTATGTTGTATATTGATGTAGGCGTAACTTTCGCACTTGCGGAGTCCCTCGTTCGTTCGCCGAAAGCGGGAAGATCGGCGACCTGGTGAACATCGTCACGGTCCTTGGGCTGTGAGGCCCACGCACGGTAGTGACTAATTAACGAGTCGCGCGTGATCTCGTTAACGAGCCGCTACGTAAGCGTAAGCGTAACCGTAAACGCACTGCAGTACGCGGCTCGTGTTACTATTGGTGGTTAGAGGACGCGGAGAAGGTGTAAGTGGGGAGGATTTTAAAGAAGCAGACTAACCCGGGTGCGGGCATTATAGACCTATTTCAGGTAATAGACTCATTAACCAAATGAAACGCACCTGCTCCCGAATAGCCGCACTAACAATACCCTCACCATCTGAACTTTGACTCTCTCAAAAAGAAAAGAAAAGTCGAATCCCGGCATCAAGTAGAAGTAATTAAAAAATGAATAGTAACACAGTTCCCGTATAAATACATTTACTTCAAGGTAAAAAAAATGAAGAACGAATTGACCCGGGTCCAATGACTCAAGCCGGTAGCCAGTGACGGACGACAACACCTCTGGGCCCCACTGTACTATTACTCCATGCTCGGGGCCCTCTGGGCAGCCTCTCACCACTATTAATATTAATGCATTCCGCCGCTGGCGCATTGTGCAGCGTCGACAGCCCGGGAACTGCAGTCAGGAACAGCATTCTGGGTCCGTATTCACTCCTGAGAGCAATAGCGTATCCTCTGTTGGCGTCGGCACTTCTCTCAGGGTCTCCTAAATACACTCCGGGAGACGTGCGTACGTCCACCCAATTGTCCCGCAGGATTCCACTGAATATTCAACTGGTCCGTTACGATAAATAAAAGTTTTTCGTGTAAAAAGCGAAACAATGACCAATGGAAATTTTTCCACTTGCGGAGACGGACTCAGTGACAATCGGTAAAATCCATGAACTGAGGGAACGGACCGAGAATAAGGGACTGACGATATACCTATATTATGTATGTATGTATATACGTGTGTATATGTATACAGTATACTCTGTAGTGTGTATGTAGTATATATATGTAGTATATATGTGTGTAGAGAGAGAGAGAGAGAGAGAGAGAGAGAGAGAGAGAGAGAGAGAGAGAGAGAGAAAGAGAGAACTCATGTATACTAACTGGAGAGACTTTAATGGACGAGACTCCATTGTCATGAGATTTCCATCCTGTGGCTTCTATGCCTACCATAACCAATCCCTTGTTAGTACCGGGACGATGATACATACCTTGGAATTGTAAGGTACCGCGGTCGTTACACCTTCAGCTAGTTATACCTTAACGTATTTAAGGGCTTTGGTAAGTTTAGCACCTTCGGTATCTTCACGCTTAACTTGCATTGTTCCTATTATTCTGTGCTTGGAACACTCGCGTTTCTTATATATTCTGAATATTCTCTAGAGTGTCTCTATGTAGGTTATAGGTTCATGGTCGGTTATAAAGTTAATTTTCAAGGTAATAGATAAGGACACCTGGTAGATAGAAAAGTTGGGTTGTACTCGCAGGGCAATGTCCAATGGCGGATTTCGAAGAGTAGCATATCTTCCAGTGGCCATAAGTATAGCCACGGGGCGCCTTTGGCTCACCACAAATCTCAACCAGTGCTTGTGGTATGTACCGGGTTTAATATAAAGAAAGGATTAAATGGATATTCAGATATAATATCTGCCGTAGTGAATTATCACGTCGTACGTTTAAAAGTAGCGGGTTGCGCGCGCGCGCCAGCGTTCAAATGTGAATTATCATTCCGAGTGATTTAATGGCGGAATCGTGGCGGCACTTTCTAGGCGGTTTCTTTTAGGAAACTAGTTTGTTCCTTTGTCATTCGGTGAGAGGTAGAATAAGTCCCAAATTGTTTGTCGACTCTCTATATTTTCTGGAGGTCTGTCGGAAACGCTCCTGTACGTGATGGGGTGCGTTTAGGTTCGTGTTGCTAGTTTCTGTCTAACCTCAAATTTATCCGACTTCGTGAACCCCCATGGAATCCTAATGGCTACTGGTACCGTGGACGATATGACGTCAGGGATACGTGGGATTCCCGAGGATTCCCAGCTGGGTCACGTGCAGCTAAGGACGTGAGTCTCTCTTTCCTCTTCCTCTTGCGGCAGCAGCTACCAAACTTGCGTTCCTGATGGAAAGTCAAGCGGACCAAAACAGCCTCAAACCGGTCACTGTGCCGCCGTGCTTACGACTTTTCCATCTAGTTGGACTTCCGGTCACGTGGTACCGCCACAACTGGTGGATCACGTTCACACAATGCTTCGAGATTGTAACCTTTCATCGCGGCTTTTTGATAACCTTAATTTTATATCGTGAATTAGGTGCAGGTACTGAACGGCGCTATACGTGTATTAGCAGTTTAAATGCACCAGCCGAAATTGGCTTTTTCATACCAATCAAGTGGGTCGATGAAGCTCAGTAGATTCCTTTAAGCTGACCAGTTTTGTGGAATGTATGTAAGTTGTTTGCGAATAGTTAAAAATTGTTTTGATCTAAAAGCGAAGGGATACGGAAAAATTGGAATTGATATCTAGGTGGCTATGGGCATTGTCGAAAACGTCTGAACGGCCATTATTGTTCGTGAATATTTCTGAAAGCGTAAGTTTTATCTTCTTGCCCGAAATACTCGAGCCTGTCGAATTCCATGTGATGAACGGCTTGGGGGGGAGTGGTTCGAAAAAGGGCCCACGGGCCGACGTCTCTCGAGATAATGTTAAAGGTGGACTTGAGGCCCTTTTTGCGCGTCGGCATGATCGAGATACCGCGGTCAGAAAAGTTCCGTAACGCAAAACCCAACGATGCCCAGCGCAAAGGGGCATTTTCATTAGTCGTGCGGGGCCCGGCGATCGGTAGATATTTGATTCGGTTTTTATCGGGTACGACCGGCATTCCGTAACCGGGGGCCACTGAACGCCTTTGGAAAAACGGCCTGAGTTTCAATGGGCCCAAGACTGGCAGAGGGATACTTTGTGCTTCCGCGCACAGAGCATGCATGTACAATAGAATGATACCTAACAGACTCCAAATCTATGGCTCTGTTTGCAAAGTTATTATAACATAATAAATATATAATTCAACTGCAGTACTTACAGATTATTCAACTTCCGTTCTTGCTTTTTTTTTCAATCTTTACCTATGGGTTCGAGTCGTGCGCATATCTCAAGTCCCGGCGTTATCTAATCCGCACATGCAATTACGTCGTAAGATTGCTTATTAAGGCTTTGGAAAAGTTGATTCGGCGAGCGTAATATGGGGCCCAAAGGAATTAGCCCTACCTCTACCGGCGATCATTATATCCGTATAATGCCATAACTATAACCATACATGTAGGTAGATGATACCCACCTCCTTTCTCCATTGGGCCCCCTTTTCTCTACCGTAACTACTATGCCTGAAGATTTCTATAGCGAACAGTATTTTATGGCAGGTATCTACCGGATTTATATTAGGTAATAAAATAAAAAAAATTCATTATAGATATAGGTATATATGTGGTATCATAGGTAGATATTGGTTAATTCACGGATAGGTGGATTGTCAAAATTGAAAAACTTGTCCTGATCCTCTTATCCATAGAGGGAACGACAAAATACAACTACAGTAAGTGACACGATTCGAGGATCTTGATGATCCACTGACCCCGTGAAGTCATCAAGCCCAATCCCAGGACTCTTGTCGCTTACGCAAGGCTCTCTTTATGTGTTGCAGATATGAGGAGCGACACTACGCTTTCGAAAGGTAACGGAGCTCGTTTTACCTTCCTTTATTGTACTTTTCTACTTTCTTCCTGCCATTACTATTTTTTTTTGCATTTTCTTCACCGTAAACACATGGGACCTACATTGATATATGTATGTATATTTTTTTTTGTTATTCTATATATGACTGCGTGAAGACTATTTTTGACCTGCATGTACGGTCGTCAGTTGATAGCATAGTCGAACAACATTTCGTTTTCTTCTCCATTTTCAAATACTTTTGAAATAACGAAAAAGTCTTAAATCAAAATAATGATGAAGACGTGGAAAAAAGGTAAAAAAACGTAAATTCTCATAAAGCCGAATGAGAGGCTGAACGCTAATTGCACCAATCGCATCCTTTTAATTAGAATTCAAACGAAGTTGATTAGTTAGTGAGTCAAGCTCATGGACAATCGAACAAGACAAACGCCAAATTCGAATTGGATATGAGACTCAGAAGGGAATCAGTAGACACGTGAATTTGATCCTTATGGGTCCGTGAAGATATAGGGCCCAGAAGTAGGTAGTGTGGGGGCGGGGAAAGAGTAGTAATTATTGCCCCCCGGGACAATTAACTTTTTTTAATGCCCCATTGGTGGGCCTGCAGGCTAATACTCTATGATTTGCCATATCGCCAAAAATAACAGTCCGAACGAGTAATTGGGGGTGGATTATGATTTGAGAGGGTGGTTCTGTGAGCGGGCTGGTAGTATATTGTATATGAGATGTCGATAAATGTAAGGCCCCATAATAATTCTATTAAAAATGTAAATTTATCCGCTGCTCGCGCGGTATCGACAAATATAATCGTCGCCCCACTATCCTAATTATCCTAATTTTCTTCATGAGACCAAGGTTCCTTTTATCCATAAAGCTCCAGAGCACTATCATAACCGCCAACAATCATCTCATAACTTTTCTGGCGAATAAAGCGTTTCGCGAGCTCCTCCCTTACCGCGTACTGGCCAAGATGAAAAAACAGAAAAAAGAGTTAAATAAAAAACTTAAAAAATATGAAACTCGATATTATGCACCATATGAGAATGTTGAATACATCCAAGTACGATGAACGAACTGCTAATAATTGTACGTTGTTTGCTCGCTTCAAAATCTCCATAATGCATGAAGATTATTAAGCGAAAGAGAAAAAGGAGAGCAAGGTAAAGTAAGAGACACAGAGAAAAAAAGAAAGAGGGGGAGAGAGAGAGAGAGAGAGAGAGCGAGAGCAATGTAAGAAGAAAGGAAGAGAAGTATGTTGAGAAGAAAGGAGGCAAAAGGTAAAGAAAGCGCGTATTTTAATAACAAGGCCATTTCCGAATGACGGCCTATCGTCCTATAAATATTAATCGTCATCTTAAAATGCGATTATGGTAAAGCAGTAAGTGCAGTAAGTGCAGTGCTACACGGCCACTCGCATGCACATAAGTTACAGTATGCACTACAATTCCCAGTATGCACACGCTGCAATGTCTACGCATCTCTAACACGTCTCCAGTTTTCTAAGGAACGTCGCGCGCGTGAGTCCTGTCGTTGTATTATAATGCGCCCGAACGAATGCTTTTGTTTTCCAAATGAGTTATCCTCGCGGGGACTGAGGCCCATTCGCCGAGTGTTACATATGTATATACCTACAGTGTAAGTAACAGAGATGGAGGAGAGAGAGGGAGAGAGAGAGAGAGAGAGAGAGAGAGAGAGAGAGAGAGAGAAAAGGAGAGAGACCGTCTTTCAGACTACTCGCAGACTGAGTTCAAGAACCCGAAGAACCTCAAGAGACGGAAGACTCGATGGTCTGACGGGCAAGTGAGACTTGAGAATGAAGTCTTTCACACTTTTCTGCAAGTCCTTGCCATAAGTGTTTATATCGAGTCGAGTGCGCGTGCATATGCACATATGAAGTCTTGAAATTCTTTGGAATTTCAGGACCACATTATTAAGAGTACCCGTCGCGATACAACAATCCTTTGGGGACAATTCCATCAGTTTGATAAGGGGCCCTTCCTTAAGGCGCATTTTAAATCGTGAAAGAATCCCATAGCCTCGAACCCCATAAAGGAATTCCGCTCGTACCTATCTCCCTGCATTCTATCCCACGCACCCGATTTCATGAGAATTTGATCTTCGATTCTCCATCCCCCTTTGCTGATTCTCAGCCACCCTTGCTTCTACCTAACCTCCTTCTTACCACCCTACCCGAGTCCTTGCAGTAACTTGCACCCCCCGGCTATTATCAGACTCGTAGACTTCCTCGACCTCGTCCTCGTGCCATTTGCCGTGAGTCCTTTTAGCCCTTCCGCACCCTTAAGTCACGAGTAAAAGGATCACAGAGGGCGGCGGGTCTAGCGGGGTGCCGTCTCTACGCCGGAAAGATCGTTTTAGGAAGGAAGTTTCTTCTTCTTATGTAGGGGGCCAGGGGCGGATTACAAGTTTGTTTTTTCTTTCCCATGGGGTTGCGCTGGGAAACCTTCGAAAGACAACCCTTCCTCTTGGGGTGGTTTATTTTACAATATCGATTATAACGCTGTAGTTCTCTTTCTTATTTGATTTCTTTGTTTGTTTTAAGGGCTGTTGAACGCTGAGCCTGTTTGATGGGTGGGCTGGGG